GATTTCTGATTTTGGATGTAAAATGTCTGTCAAATCATTCGCCTGTTCTTTTTCTATTGTCGCTCAGTCTTTTTATTGACTTGTAGGAGTCCTTTTTACATTTCAGATACTGGTTCTTTGCCAGATACAGGTAATTGTCAAAGGAAAAGAACCCAAACTCTGTAAAAGAATGTAAAGAGGTTTATTCTGAACTTTACATAATGCGTGACCATGGCTGGGAGAGCCTTGAGCACGTGGCCTGGCCATGATGGGGTCACAATTTGGATTTAAACATTTCAGGGAGACGGGAATTACACAGAAAATTCATAAATCAATATGTAGAAGGCACACATTGGTTTGGCCTAAAAAGATGGGACACCTTGAAGCGGGGAATTACAAGTCATAGGTGGGTTTAAAGATTCTTTGGGATGTAATTAGTTAAAGAAATGAAGCTTTATCTAGAAGCTTGGAATGTTTTAAGATAGGGACATATACTGGCCCCTGGTACACTCAGATTCAAGTGATTGGTTAAGTAAATGGATGACCTGCAGGTGCGAGATAAGCCTTGTCTAGTGCAGCCTTCTACCTATGAATGAGTCACAAGAACAAAACGGGAGGGGGCCTGACCAGGCAGCTCAAGGGTATTTCCCCCATTCCCCTGGCCAACTGAGAATCCATTCAGTCAGCTGGGAGGCTTAAGATTTTATTTTAATTCACTTTATGAAAAATGTCTTTTCTTCTCTGTAGATTGCTTTTTCACTTTTTTCTTAATGGTATATTGTAAGGAACGGAAGTTATTAATCTTACAGTAGAATTTGTCCTTTTATCCCAAAGAATTTGGTTTCTCTTTTTTTACTATTATATTAATAGACTTTCTTTGTAGAACTGAGCAGTCTGCACATCTCCCCTCGGGACACACACAGCTTCCCCACCATCAGCACCCGACTTTCCTGCCGTGCACGAGTTGTGACTGGCCAGCAATCCACGCGTTACTGTTAACTAAAGTGCACAGTTTACATTAGGGCCACTCCTACTCCGCACTACGAATTTTATGGGCTTTGACAAGTGCATACTGCCCTGTGTGCACCATCAGAGGAGAGCTTCACCGCCACCTGTGTGCCACCCCTCACTCCTCTTTCCCCCAAACCCCGACATCCACTGATCTTTTTATTATTCATAGTTTTGCTTTTCTGGAAAAGCAAACTTGGAGTCACGGGGTGCAGGCTTGCAGACCTGCTCCTCAGTCAGCACCATGTCCTTAACACTTCTGATGTCTCCCCACGCTGCCTTGCTCCTTTCTTTACTGGTGAGTGAAGTCCCTTTGTCTGGAGGTACCAGGGTTTGTTTACCTGCCCCCTGAAGGGCATCCTGGCTGCTTCCAATGTGGGTGATTGCAAACAAAGCTGCTGTAAACACTCATGCACATTTTGGAGGTGAGTTTTCTGTCCATGGGCTGAGAGTGCTGGCTTGCAGGGCAGAGAGCCTTCAGTTCTGCAAGAAACCACTTCCCGCCAGCCGGCTTCCTGTTGCCATTGGTGGTGTCAGTGTTTTGGATCCAGGCCATCTAATAGGCGTGTGGTGGTGTCTCATTGTTTTAATTTGCAATTCCCTAATGACAAATGATGTAAAGCATCTTTTCACATGCTTATTTGCCATCCTATTTCTTCCTTGGTGAGGTGTCTGCTCAAACCACTTACCTATTTTTTAAATTGGACTGTTTGTTTTCTCATTGTTGAGAAACATTGTTGAGAATATACTATTTGTATATTTTGGAAACAAATCCTTTATAGATGTGTGTTTTACAAATATAAGGGCTGTCCAGAAAGTATTCACACGGCTGGGTACTTTCCCGACAGCCTTCCTATTTCTTCCCAGCATGAGGCTTCTCTGTTCATTTTCTGAACAAGGTTTGGGGGGGGGGGGTGTCTGTGCATGTGTGTGTGCGTATGTGTGTCCTAGTTAAACAACAAAACTTTTGTGGTCTCCAAGATCTTGAAAATTGTTTCTTTTTTCTTCCTCCCCCCCTAAAAAAACATTACCACTTAAATTTGTTGTTGCTGTTGTTGTTGTTGTTGCAGTTTGGCCCAGGCTGGGTTTGAATCCACTACCCTCAGAATATGGGGCCTGTGCCCTACTCCCTGAGCCACAGGCACCATCCACCATTTACATTTCTAATTGGTGTAAAATTGACTTATGTGTACAGTGTGAGGGAAGGATCAAGATCCTTTAATTCAGTCAACTGGCAGCATGCATTGAAAAGACCACCCTTTCCCCCTGCTCTTCACCGAGTGGGAGAAGGCCCCCCTTCCCCTCTGCCCATCTGTTGGTCTGTCTCTTTTGTCAACAACCACCCTGTCTTAATTACTGAATGTAACGTCATTCACTGTTACCTGGTACCTGCCACTTCATTGAAATAGCTCCTGTCAAGGTCACATTGCAAAATCCAGCGTGTGACGCTCACTCCATCCATCAACAAAGGCACTGACACAGCCGCCACTCCCTCCTCAAACCACTTTCCTGGACCTTCTCCCTCTAGGCAACTTCCCCAACTCCTCTGAGGGACCCCTCGCTTCTCTAGCCTCTTAAAGTCAGGACACTCAGTCCCCAGACATCTCCTTCAGTCTTATACAATGGCAGTCTTGGGTTCTAATGTCCATTCAATGTCCATCTGCCTGGACACACAACTCAAACAGCTATTACCAGTGGGCAGAGCCACTTGCAACCCAGACATTCCAGCCTGAAACATCCAAAACTGAGCTCCTGGCCTTCCTGCCTAGCCCTCTCCTGTATCCCTGCTGATCTCTGCCAGCAACGTGGCAGTCTGGGTAGACTCTGGCACACCTGTACTGGCCTATTACACACCACTTTGCCAATCTACTTGAGACCCAACTGACATTACCTCAAATGCATGTCCAGACTCTGACTGCTTCTCACCACTGCCTTACACATGGATGGTGGCCCAGACAGCTACATGGGACCTTGGAAGTTGGCACGTTCAGAGGAGGGAACAGGTGCAGGCACAGGGAGCGATGGGGAGTTGCATCAGAGAAGTCTCCTCTGAACAGACTTTAGGGAGGTGGCGACCCAAGGAGCCAGGCCTGGGGGCAGGGAGGAGAAGGGAAAGACACAGGTCAGAGATCAGAGGAGCATCCTGCCAGGAGTGCAGGCGTCCACCCACTGGTAGGCTCCTGGTGTAACTCCAAGGGGGATTCAGAGGCCCCTGGGAGTTCCCGTGTGGAAGCAGAGGAGAAAGGTGAAGGAGCAGCCCTCCACTGCCCTGCTGTGTTAGATGGGGAGGGAGCCTGGGCCAGGAGGCCAGGGCACTCTCTTATAGCTGCAGCCCCTAAGAGGGCAGGCAAGGCTGTCAGCCAACCTTTGACTCTCTGGGTGGGAGTGGTAGGCTGGGAGGGTCAGCATGGGCAGGTCAGAGGTGAAGGGATCAAAACCCACTCCCCTCAACTCCAACCAATATGCCTCCTCATGCTGGGGAAACCAAGGCAACAACATGGGCAGGAGGTCCACACCCAGTCACAAAGGGAACACCAACACTTTCTGCAGGGAATGGGGGTCACTCCACCCTTGGGTCCCCAGAGGGTCCCTTGTCAGGGTTGCCTGTCATCTGCTCTTAACCTGGCTTGCACCAGCCCCTCACATCCCCCCAAGCTGACCACCACCAGGCCTCTGCTCCCACTGGCCCTCTACACTGCCCACTTGTCATCTTGGGGAACACACCTGAAGGTGGTGTTCTTATGGTTATATATTTTAGAAACCAGGGATGCCACTTTGTCCAACACTGGGGACTAAGCATGGGGATGCAGGAGCACTGGCTCCGGAATTCAGCCCAGGGGATTTCTCTGGAGGCAGATGATAACCTAGACCCCAAGCTCCTGTGTCTGTGCTCACGTTTTAGACCGTATCAGATGAACCCAGGAAATATCTATGAACAGCCTATGTATGGAGGTGGCCCAGGCAGTGGCCACTCATCTACCCTTTTAGGTGAACTAGGATCAGGGGAGGCTCAGCCCAGGCCAGGGTCCTGATTTATTTGGTTACAGAGAACATGGGACATCCGATCTTGCCTGCTGACAGGCAGGGTCCAGTCCTGTCTACCTCATGGGGAGCTGGTGAACCCTGAGGTCATTGTTCCATTTTCTCCTCAGAAACCTCCTCCACAGACGTCACTCTCTTAGACATTCCACAGCTAAATTTCCCTTCTGACATTACCCTTTCTGAAATGATCTGTCCCAACATCTCTTTCCTACCCACAGACTGTCCCTCCTTCCCTGGGCTGGTCATCAGCTTCACAGGGTCTAAGGACAGCTGCTAAGTCAGTTCCTGACCCATGCAGGACAGAAGTACAGGGTTGTAGGGTGAGGCTGTAGGGGCGGCCTCACTGTGGCCTCGCAGTGCCCAAGCTCGGGAGACCTGGTTCCTTATCCCATTCTACAGATCACTCTGAGGTCAGGACTGCGAAGGACACTACTGTGTCAGAGACGAGCAGGTCGGTTCAGGGAGGAGGGCACAGGGCGTGGAGTGGGCGCGGGCAGTGGTTACTTGGAGAGGAAAGAAGAGGTCTGCTTGGGTGGCCAGGGAATGAAAAGGCTTCCAGAGGGGCCCTGGGAAAGAATGAGGGGTCTACAAGGCACAGCGCGGATGGCAGGGAGGAGCCCGGAGCCCCAAACCCTAGACCTGAGCATGAGGCCCCACGGGGGAGCCTCGCGCGTCGCAGGTCACCGCGGTTCCGCCAGCGAGCAGGATTACGAGCTGAGGCCCGGGGCTCGGCTGTCTGGAGCCCGCACCGCCCCTCAACCCGGAATCAGCGCAAAGGCGAGGCCGGCGGACACTACGCTCAGGCGGGCGCGCTCCCGGCGCCGTGCGCGAGCCCGAGAGAGAGCGGGCGCCACTAGCCTCCCCGGGCCGGGTCGTCCCGCCTTGCCCCGCCCCGGCCCCGCCCCGACCCCGCCCCCGTCGGCCGCGCCCACGTGACCGGCCCGGTGCAAACAAGCCAGTCAGCTGACTCGGCCTGGCTGCGCCGTCATCCCGGCTATAAGCGCGCAACCTCGGTGCTCAGCTCCCACCGCGCTGCCGTCGCCGCCACCGCCGCTATGCAGCCCCCCAGCCTCCTCTTGCTGGTCCTTGGCCTGCTGGCCGCGCCCGCCGACGCGCTTATCAGGTGAGGGCCCCGGTGCCAGGTGGGGCTCCACGCAGAGGGACCTGCTCCCGCGGTGCCCCGCGCGCGCTAGGGTGCACTTGTGTCGCCAGCGCCGCTCCCGCAGAGCCCACTCGTTCGCTTGCGGGGCACAGGAACTCTGGACTTGGCGGAGTGTACCCTCGTCAGCCCCCCCGCCCTCATGCTGCTAGGGCCGGCCATGAGGGGTAGGGGGAGGCGCGAGGATGGAGGCCATGAGGGGTCCCGGGGTGGGGAGGGTGGAGTGCTGATTCAGAACTGGAGACTTGGGATGTCCGGTGCCCAGGGCCCTACTGGGAAGTGGGAGACCTAGGTATAGGCCCTGGAGCCTCCTTAAGCTGTTCAGACCTGACATTTTCCCTTTGAAGACCCCTTTGTCAGCTGTGAACTGGGGTGTGGCTTTTAAACTTTTGCTGCAGGGGTTCTCAGCACAGGTCTGAGTGGGAGGCCCTTGGAGTCCTACAAGACCTGCAGGACCTGAGAGAGGAGTTTAGTCCATGGAACAGGTGTAAGGCAGCAGCCAGCTTGCCCATCCTGGAACTGGGGCCCAGCTGCTGTGAGGACCACACCCTCCTCAGGCCTATGACCTGACCCCAGTACCAGCTGAGGACACCCACGGTTGGGGCCTGGACCTGGACTGGGCCCAGTGGTGCCAGCCAGGCAGAGGCCTGGGCTGAGATCTGCTCCTTAGACGCCGCCTCCTGCTTGCAGCCTGCTCTCCCAGGAGGGAGAGGCACAATAGGCAACCCCCTTCTACACCTGCCCCCACCCTTGCTCTGCAGCCTTCCTGGGAGACCAAGGCTCCCCTGCGGGCCTCAGGCGGGTGAGGTAATAGGGCTGCAGGGGCCAGGGCGAGTAGAACTGAGCCTCCCCATAGTCTCTGGTCAATGGCCCCGGGGGTGGGTAGCCCCAGACAGAGCCATTGTTAGGGAGCAGCTGCAGGCCTGAGCCTGCCCTGACCTTGCTAGCCTGGCCCACCTACCTCCCCTCTCAGACAAGGGCAGAGAGATGGGGCAGCTGACCCAAAGCTTCTCTTACCTGATCCCAGGTCCTGTAGGAGGGTGGTACCTGTTTCCAGAAGCCCTGATGGGGGATATTGCTTCCCCTAGGCCAGAACACGGGGTGTTTCCAGCCCCCAACTCTTAGGCAAGAATCTCATCTTGGAACACACCCTTGGCATTGCAGGCACACCTGTGACCTTGGGCTCTCCTGGGGCAGGGACAAAGTTTCATCCCAGTGATTAAAAGCTCAAATGAGCTCGCCTTGGAACTGATTCAGGCACAGCCTGAGGGTGGCCAGTTACTCCAGGGGTCCCCTGCTGCTCAGTCCCTCGTAACAGGATCCACCAAGAGGTCCTTAGCTGAGCTGGCCTGGCCATAGGCTAGGGGATGCCCCAGTGGGGTTGCAGAGGAGCCCCTTTTGAGGAAGCAGAAGCCCCCACGAGCACAGGTGCAGTCCCTGGGCTCCCAGGGTCTGTCACACGAGAAGAGAGAGCCATCCGAAGAGAGAGCAATCCGCAGCAGCGAAGTGTGGGGCCACAGCGTTAGCAGCAGCTGGGTGGCAGAAAAGGTGGCAGGCCTCTGGTTGGCATCAAAGGCCTGTTTGCTGGCCAGGAGGAGGTCTCGGAGAGCTTAGGAAGATAGAGGTCCAGGTAGAGAGTAGCAAGATGCCTGGGAGCTCTAGCCAGGGGTGGCAGGTTCAACTGACAACTCAGTGCCTCAGTGGCCCACTGGCCGCTCTCTGGAAAAAGAACAGTGCAGGTATAGAGGGAACTCATGGGACCAGTGGGACTTTCAGAGCCTTTGGAGTGGCCAGGCATGGCACACTGACCTCCATTCTGAAGATGGGGACGGAGGGTGGGTGACTGAGGCTTCCTCGGCCTTTAGCCTGAGCAGCCTGGGGTGGTAATGGGTTGTCATTCACTGATTTGAGAGAAGCTGGGCCAGGGGGTTTCAAGGGGTCTGGGCCCTGTCAGGGGTGTTCCAGTGGATTTGCAGTGCAAGAGACTGTCGGGGCATCTGGCGGCTCACAGACAGGTGGCCTCAGCTGGCACACAGGAGCACTGCCCTTGCCCTGTCCTGACCTGCCCCACCCCTGTGTTGACAGAATTCCTCTGTATAAGTTCAAGTCCATCCGCCGGACCATGTCAGAGGCGGCAGGCCCCGTGGAAGAACTGATCGCCAAGGGCCCTCCCTCCAAGTACTTGATGCCTACTGAGACCAAGGGACCAGTCCCTGAGATGCTCAGGAACTACATGGATGTGAGTGCGGGCTCAGGGACCCTCCCTGGAGCAGAGCTGGCTCGCAGAGAGCTGTGCCCAGGCACATGCAGTAGTCCCCATATTACACAGCTCCGTGTGGCCCCCAGTGCCCCTGTCACCACAGGGTCCTGTTCTGGCCTGAGGGTGCACAGGGGTGGCCTTGGCATCTTGGTGACATCTAGCCAGAACTGCTCTGGCTCAGCATCAAAGCCAAGCCTGCCGGAGAGGCTGCAGGTGGAAGTCCCTGGAAGGCCTGAAGCTTGGGCTTTCTGGGCCCACCTGCCCAGGAGCCTCCGTCCTACTGGTAGGCCTGGGGTGACCCTATGCCCAGCTCCTGCTTCTCACCATCTTCCCCTTGGATAGCAGCCCCTATTGTGGCCACTGCTCCTGGAGAAAGAACGTTCTAGAAGCCTCACAGCTAGCTGAGTCTTGGTCAGGATTGTCTCAGCCTTATGGGGACAGATTCTGGGCCAGGGCCTGGCTTCTCCACAGCTGCCTGGGACCATTTCTGTCCCCCCAGCCCTTCAGACTCAAGCCCCTCACTGCCATCCAGCCGGGCCCATATTGGTGGGAAGGGCCCATGCCCTCTGTCCCACTTGGCTTGAGCCCTGGTCGGGGCAGGAAGCTCAAGACTCACAGACATGTGACTTTGCTAGGGGAAGGGGGGACCGTCTGCCCGGGCCCAACTAGCTGGTTCCAGATTCCCCACACACACGGCGCACACAGAGATTTGCTGAGTCACCTCCTGACCCCTACCAACGTGGACACTTTTGCTCGGTCATGAGTTAGCAGCTGCTGCTCCCTGGCACCAAGTAGTCAGAGACACACTGGGCAGGACCAGAGCCAGAAATTCAGTGTCCAGTGCTGGCCCAGGCTCCTACCCTGGGAAGGTGTTCTGAGGAGGCAAGACCCAGATGACCTCAAACTCCAGGACCTCTATATCGTCTGCCCTCTAAGAGAGCCAAGGGTGACTTCTACAAGGCTAAGAGGGACATGTGACCCCTGGCGCCTGGTATCTCCTTCCAGGGCAGTTAAATCAGGGCCGCTGGACTGTGGGTGCCCTCAAGGCTTCCCTCCTCCCCTCAGCCAGCCAGACCCCAGAGTCAGGTCCTGACATGGCCTAAGCTGGGGAGGTGGTCACTCCTCTTTGTAGGCCCTGGGCCCCTGAATAGCAGAAGATCTTCCAAGCAGCCCTGTGCCATGCCCAGGGCTCAGGTTGAGGGCCTGGTCTGTCCCCACGCTGAGTTTTCTTTTTTTTTTTTTGAGACAGAGTCTTATTTTGTTGCCCTTGGTAGAGTGCTATGGTGTCATAGCTCACAGCAACCTCAAATTCTTGGGCTCAAGCAATTCTCTTGCCTTAGCCTTCCAAATAGCTGGGACTACAGGCACCCACCACAACGCCCAGCTATTTTTAGAGACCAGGTCTCGTTCTTGCTCAGGCTGGTCTTGAACCAGTGAGCTCAGGCAGTCCACCTGCCTCAGCCTCCCAGAGTGCTAGGATTATAGGCATGAGCCACCACACCTGGCCACTCCCCAAACTATCTTGACCACTGCCCTCACCTTTCTCATGGTATAGTCCTTCACCAGCCTTCCCATGTAGCAGACAGGCTAGATGGCTGGACCAAGGAACCTAGAGCCCTAGTACCCATGGGTCTGAAATCTCAGGGCTGGGGGCCTGGCCTTGGTGCCCCTGCCAGAGCCTGATTTCTTGGGGCGGAGGGGGACTCTCAAAATCAGGCTTGGCAGATGGAAGGGGCTGCTCCTCACTCCAGCTTAGGCATTTGAGGCCTGGCTCTGGGGATAGCCAGCAGCCTTCTCAGGCCCAGTGGGGAAGTGGGCACCCCCACCACAGCCCTGAGTGCTCACCCTGCACCCTCCCAGGCCCAGTATTATGGGGAGATTGGCATTGGAACCCCGCCTCAGTGCTTCACGGTCGTCTTTGACACTGGCTCCGCCAACCTGTGGGTCCCTTCGTCTAAGTGCAAAATGCTGGACATCGCCTGCTGTGAGTCCTGCTTGCTGTCCACTGTCCCAGCCCCTGTTCCTCCAAGATGCCACCTGCTTGGGGCTGGGTCTCACTCAGGGTCCTCAGGCAGGGAGTGGGAGGTCCTGGTGCCCCCCCCACCCCGCACAATAACCTGCTCCTTCACTTTGCGTGTCCACACTGCCTCCCTCCAGGGTGCTGGGTCTCTCCTGGGTCTGGCCTTCCTCAAGTGTCACTGGAGAACACTACCAGGAAGGGAGGGGCATGGCTGGGGCTTGTGTGTGGCCCTGCCTCATGTCATGCACTACTCCTGCCTCTTGGCCACAGAAGGCAGGGCAGCCCTCCACCCTGCCCCAGGACACCTGCTTCTGGGTGAACCTGTTTGCCTTTCTTTTGCCAGGGCTAGGGACCCTAGAGGCCAAGAAAGGAGCATGCTGTGGGCTAGACCGCCCACAGGGGAGAGGGCAGGGCCAGATGTTATGGCCCCCTGCAGTCCTTAGACACTCCCCCCCACTCCCCGTGTACAGTGGCCTTCTTTCATAGCCAGATCCACCCTGGGAGTCAGCTTAGGACACGGCCACTGGGGCAGTATGGTCCGGGCCACACACTGGGCTGCAGGCTGACCACCTTGCTTTGGCAGGGCTCCACAACAGGTACCACAGCGACAGGTCTACCACCTATGTGAAGAATGGCACTGCCTTCGACATCCACTATGGCTCAGGCAGCCTGTCCGGGTACCTGAGCCAGGATACTGTGTTGGTGAGTCCCTCTGGGGCCTCCGTATGGTCCCTGGCCTGACGCCAGCTCTTGGGAAGAGCTGTGGAGTTTGGGTGGCCAGTGGCAGTCAGCTGAGTGGGGAGGCTGGGGGATGGGAAGACTCAAGTGGGGGTTACAGGCTAGGGTTTGACCAGGGCCCCCACACCCACCCCCGTGAATAGAAGTGGGCAGGGCCTCAGCACAGAGCAGGCACAGTAGCTCCAGCCCCAGCCCTGGTGAGTGACAGAGGCTTTCTCCCAATTCCGGGTGAGAGCTACGGAAGAATTGGGATCTCTGTTGGGCAGGGTAGATTCGAGGTGCCAACAACATTCAGGGCAGGGGTCCCTGCAGACGACCCAAAGGGTTGGATCCTCAGGAGGGGTGAGGGACAAGTGCCAGGAGCCCACTGGCTGGAAGGCACCTGCAGAGGCCCCAAGGGAGCTGAGCAGGTTGGCTGTCCAAAGGGCCCTGAGGAGAGGGCAAGCCAGCCCTTGACACCCTGCTGCACCTCTGAGAGTCTTTGTCAGTGGGGCAGTGCAGCCCCCAGCCTTGAGCCTGCTTCTCACAGCCTCTGCGGGGATGGGCTCAGGGGTCTGCCAGTCTGGCCCATGCCTAGAGGGGCAGGTAGACTCCAGAGACTCTGCTATGGCACCTTGCGCCTGTGTGGCCTGAATGTGGACAGCTTCCACACCCCATCCTGCCAGATGGACAGGGCTCCTTGGGGTCTGTCTCTGCTCTGCAGAGCCCGCACAGGATGTTGCCCCATTGCCCCTGCTGGGGTATCAGCCTCAGCACTGCAGCCGTTGCTCCCCACATCCTGCTGGGCTGGAGGAGGAGCAACACAGTCAGGAGCTGGGCTGCTGGGGTGGGGTCTGCCAGTTTCTATCTCTCAGGCCCCAGGCCCTTGTTTCTGTGGCCGAGGGCAGGAGTAAGGCCCGCCTGGCAGGGGGGGCAGGCAAGCGGTCACAGTGCAGCTCTGTGCTCCCTCCTGGTCCCATGTTTTAGAAAACAAGGTCCAAACAGCTCCTCTGAAGGCTGCCACCATGGCCCACCACTGCCCACCTACCGGCAGGTGCCCTGGTGTGGTGTCCCAGCCCTTTCTTCCATGCCCTCTCTTTGCCTGTCCTGGAAGATGAGGGGTTTTGCAGCCTTGGCTGCCACGGTGAGGGCTGGTGTCAGGCTCGGCTGGTACCTGTGGCCAGCTGACACCTGCCCCTACCCACAGATGCCCTGCAAATCAGTTTCAGTCAATGTCAAAGTGGAAAAACAGGTCTTTGGGGAGGCCACCAAGCAGCCAGGGATCACCTTCATCGCCGCCAAGTTTGACGGCATCCTGGGCATGGCCTACCCCCGCATCTCTGTTGATAATGTGCTGCCCTTTTTTGACAACCTGATGGAGCAGAAGCTAGTGGAAAAGAACATCTTCTCTTTCTACCTGAATAGGTGAGCCCCACCTCATCTGCCCATCCCCTCCCCCCACCTCATCTCCCCATTGCCATTCCCTCTGCCTCCATGCCCTCCTCCCCCACCTTCTGTCCCCCAGCATTGTCTCCTTGTCGTCCATTCCTCCTCCTGTCTCTCTGCCTCATCTCCTTGTCCCCCCAACCTTCCTGGCATGGCCTGGCTGGTTGAGGGGCTGGGGTACTCAGGTGACTATCCTCCAGGCATGTGGCCACAACTCTTGACCTCTGACCTTGGGCCATCCCGAGAGCGTGGGGATGGCACACCGTATTACAGATGCAGAGAGGTTATGTCTTGCCTAGGTCTCCCAGTGGGGAGGGGCCAGTGAGAGGCACATGCGGCCCTGGCCCTAGGTGCTAGTGGCCTAGAGGGTGCAGGCCATGAGCTCTGATCTGACAGGCACTCTGGAGGGGGAGTATATCTACGGACTGGGAGCTGCCTGGGAGAACTGTGGGCTTTTGTCACCCCACAGGCCCACCCTGTTAGCAGCATAGGAAACCGTGGTCAGGTGACCTCAGAAAAGGGAGCTCTGGCCTTGGTTTCTTCTCAGGCGGGTGCTGTGGGGGTGGTTTAGGGCACCATGCTGCCTGAGCTCGGCCACTGGGCATGTGTGGATTTCACCAGGTGACTTGTTGCCCTGTGCTACTTCTCGTCCCTACACACTCTCTCCCAGAGCTGATGGTAGGATGGTCTCTTAACGCACCCACCCTGCACTTTATCCCAACCCTACCCCCGTACTGGACTATTTTTCTCCATCCCCTGCTCGGGCAGTGAATGCTCCTTAGTGTTATGCTAGAGGCCAGCACACAGGTGAACTGGCCAGGCCACTCCTCTGGAGCCCTTGGTGAGGTGAGAGGGTCTCTTTTCTCTGGGCAGGACAAGAGACCCCAGGGATTGGCCAGGTGAGGTCTCAGGCAGGAGTGAGAGGCTGAGGGCTCAAGGATTAGATCTGGCAGAGTGGGACGTGGGAGAGGAGTGCCCACTCCTAGGGCTGCAGAGGGGCTGGCAGGGGCTGGCCGAGGAGTGCGGAGGCCCTGGCTGTTGGTGGGAGGATATGGTTAGAGGACAGGCCTGGCAGGACTTGCATATTAAAGCTTATAGTTACTCAGCCTCAGCCTCAACATCCCGACCAGTAAGTCAGAGAAAGCGTGGTGTCCCATATTTTTGCCCAGAGCACCCTGGCTGGTGTTCGTGGTGGTTGGTCAGGGGGAGATGGAGAGAGAAACTGAGATCTGAAGAAGAGCCAGCCAGATTCAGGAGGGTGGGGCACAGAGAGCTCCCGGGAGCAGCATGTGCAAAGGACCTGGGGCAGGAACCAGCCAGCTCAGCTCCACGGGGTCACACTGTTCTTGCTTCCTAGAATTCTTCCTTGGTTCTTCTTCTAGACAGGTACCCCCCTAGGTTCCTGGCACCCACTTCCCCACCTGCTTTTCAGCCATGACCCTGCTAACTGTGACTGAGCAGAACTTGAGAATGTGAAGCTTGAGCAAGATCTTTTCTGCCTGGACTAGGTCCATGCTGAGCAGCCCACTCAGGGTGTGGGATCAGAGCTCCTCCCTGAGAAGAAGGAAGTCTCATCCCTCTCCTCCCTTCTGGGTCTTTCCATTCCTGCAGGTCCAGGAAGTTTTCCCTGGTTGCTCCACCACCCCCTTACTTCTGACCTCCTGGCCTGCCTGGCTCTCTCACACTTGGGGGACAGGGAGGTAGCTGACTCCTTCCCTTTCCTCCCAGAGACCCAAATGCACAGCCCGGGGGTGAGCTGATGCTGGGGGGCGTGGACTCCAAGTACTACACGGGCTCCCTGTCCTACCTGAACGTCACCCGCAAGGCTTACTGGGAGGTCCATATGGAGCAGTGAGTAGAGGGCACAGTTGCTCCTCAGCTGTCCAGCAGGGGTGGCATTCGGGGATGCAGTGGGAGTTGGGCAGGGTCAAGAGATGGGATCGTGTTGGACCTTATGCCTCTGTGGCCCCCATCCCCCCTCACCATGTGGGTCACCTGCTCACTCTCTGTCTCTTGAGTCTGTGCCTCTCCATCCCCTTGCCTTAGGCCACCTGTGAACAGCCCTGGGTAGGGCATCATCCTGCCCTTAGTCCGGGTTCAGGGACTCATGCCCTCCCTGACCCCCAGGGTGGAGGTGGCCAGCGGACTGACTCTATGCAAGGGGGGCTGTGAGGCCATCGTGGACACTGGCACCTCTCTCATGGTGGGACCCGTGGATGAGGTGCGTGAGCTGCAGAAAGCCATTGGGGCCATACCGCTGATCCAGGGTGAGGTGAGTGCCAGGGGCCAGCAGGGCAGGAGGCGGGTGCTCTGAGACTGGCATCCTCACACACATCTGTTACCTCCAGTACATGATTCCCTGTGAGAAGGTGTCCAGCCTGCCCTCGGTCACCCTGAAGCTAGCAGGCAAAGACTACACGCTGTCCGGGGAGGACTACACACTCAAGGTGGGCAGGGCTCATTGGCATGGGGACTGTGGCCTGGATTCCCAGGGTGGGCGGTGGTGTGGGGCTGACAGGACTGATGGTGACCCCCCATGGCTATCCCAGGTGTCCCAAGGTGGGAAGACCATATGCCTGAGTGGCTTCATGGGCATGGACATCCCCAAGCCCGTTGGGCCACTCTGGATCATTGGTGACGTCTTCATTGGCTGCTTCTACACCGTGTTCGACCGAGAGAAGGATAGAGTGGGCTTTGCTAAGGCCGCCAGGCTCTAGCTCCCTGGCCTGCCCACCTGTCCACTGGCAGAAAAAGGAGCAAGTCCAGTGACAGGAGGTGGCGGTCCCAGCCCTCCCTGCCCATCCCCACACACAACTCGCACACTCACCTGCCCATTGCCCCAGGCTCTGGGAGCCTACGTCCCAAGTGGGGCTCATCGTTTTAGTTTGGTTTCGCTCCCTGGATTCAGAACCGTCTGTCTAGTGGAGAGTGGAGGGGTACTCCATGAGCTTGTGCCCCGCAAGCCCATCCAGTGGAGAATCTTCTCCCTTAGCCCAGCCAGTGCCCACCCCATCCCAAGTTGTCCTCACAAAGTCCACGTGGATCCTCCTCAGAAATAAGGTCTGCCTGAGGACCCCCACCCAGCTGGCCCCAGAGCTGGGCTCTGTGGACCAAAGCGTCCGTTTATACTGGGCCTGTTGAGGAAGGGGCTGGCTGAGGCCTGGGGGTGAGCAGGAAGGCTCTGGAAGGGAGCGGGACGGAAGTCAGCCTTCTGGTGCCTGCCGGTCATCCTGGGGCTGACCGCATTCATGTTGGGGTATGGCTCTGGGGCTGACTGGTGGTCTCTGTAACTGGCCTCTGCTGCAGGTGGCCGAGAGCCAGCTTTGACAGGGAAATACAGCTGTGTAAGCCTCTCCCTGTGCTGCGTGCTTTGTGCTGGGTAGTGAAGGTGTTCTAAATTGGGCTGGTGTGGCATGGGCGTGTTAGAGGGCTGACTCAGGGCCAGGCTGGGGGACAAGGGTCTGGGGTGCCCTGGGCCTGGCTTTCAGACACAACACCCCTGCCCTTCTCTGTACTTGGGACCCTGGAGCTGTAGCTAGCTGTCCAGCCTGGTCCACTGGCAGGGCCTGGGTTGTTCTGAGGTGTAAAGCAGTGACTAGCAGGATGGACCCAAACAGAGGCTGTGGTGGGGAGTGCAGCACAGGCTTGCCAGCATCAACACCTGGGTCAGGACACAGTTTGCATGTGGGCCAGCAGGTGCCTGCCATGCTCTTCCAGAGAGCATTTCTGCCCTTGGAGGAGACAGCAGCAGTCCCAGCACAACCTGATTGCCCTCCCCACCTCATCTCAGGCCTAAAAAGAGCTGGGCATAGGGTCGATGCTATGTTCAGCTGGCTTCCCTTCTGGGCCGCCCTGCCAGGCCCTGGAAGCAGCCTCGTGCTGTGGGCAGAGCCAGAGGCGGGGCAAGCCTGCCTGGGGTCACTGGGTGCAGGAAACTCCTCAGGCCACAGCTGGCTGATTGCTGGGTGTCTTTCACTGGGGGAACATGCCCAGATGTAGCAGCAACAGCTGCTAGTGGGGTTGCAGGAGTTTGGGAGCTCTTGGAGGTCAGGACATGGTTCCCTTTGGGATCAGTAGCTCTGAAGTATTTCTTGGAGCCCCCCTATCCCGATCCTAGAAGGTACAGGACATTGGAGAAATGGATCATCATCCTGGATCATCCAGGATCCTCATCCTGGTGTCTTCTCTGTGAGAGAGTGGCTGTCATTGGTCTCCCGCTCCTAAGGGCTCCAGGGATTGCACCCCTGAGCTGAACCCTATCAGACACCTCTGAGGAACATTCACCCAGGATTACAAGGAGTTTGTAAACTAGGACCTAGATCACATGCTTCTGAAATTGGAGCAAGGCCAGACAGGGTTTCTGGGGAGGTGTCAAATCCTTTGTTCCCAGGGAGGCACAAAGGAGGCCAGCAAGGGCAGTCTCCACTGCTGCACCTGCCCAGGCCTAGGGCTGAGGTGGCTGCCTCAGGGTTGTCCCAAGGAGGGTTCCCTCCAGCCTGTTAGGATTCTCAGGACCCTGGAGTCTGACTCCAGGTTCAAATCCAGCTGCCTTGGCTTTCTGGTTGTGCCCAGAGTCCCTGCTCTAGACTGGCAGTAACAGGATGCCCCTGACAGAGGATTCTGCAACTGACCAGCACCTTTGGTGAGCCCTGTGACTTGAATACAACACTGGCTCCTGTTGGCTGGCTCAGCCCTGGTTGGGACTTGAAGCCCTCTACCCCTGCGCCCCCTCAGTGGGTGTTTCCTGGCCCATACCCCTGTTTGGAGTGACACCCCTCCCAGGCCCAGCTCTCAGAAGTCCAGCCCCTTCCATCACCCACTCAGAGTGGAGGCCGTGGGGTCCTGGCTGGGAGCAGGTCACCTTGCCCAGTGACCTGAGCAGGCCCTGAGCACCCCTCCTTCTGGCTGCCTGGGGACCAACTCTCTGGACCTGTGTGCTGACCAGGTCTCCTTCCCTGCCCCCAAACCCTCCTGCTCAGCTCAGGGGAAAGGGTGTTGGAGGGCATGAGGCCACACACCACCTGGGGAGCACTGAGGATGCCAATTCTGGCTCCCTTTGCTAGGACCTTGGGGAGGGCAGGCAGTGGCCCTGGCTGCAGGAGAACTGAGCCCAGATCCTTAGCAGGCCTCACCTGCCCACAGGGCCTGGGGGCACTTGGACTGGACTTAAGCTGCACAGAGGGCATGGCCACAGTGTCACGGGGAGGAGGGGTCCTTGCACTTTCTCTCACCCCAAGCCCAGGGAGAGTTTTGTCAACACTGCTAAGATCGACCTTGCACTGACTGGCTGTACTGGAGCTGGGGCTCCTCCAGGGCATAAGGGCGCATAATAGGGCTCCAGGTCCCAGGAGGGAAGAGGGTTCACAGAGAAGCAGGATCTCAGGTGTGAGTGACTGCTCTGAGTCAGGCACCAGTCCTGAAAAGGACCACCTTGGGGTGACAGAGGGGCAGAGGAGAAGGGGGGTTCTCAGGGTGGGGAGTCGGAACACAGGCAGAGGAGAAGGGGGGTTCTCGGGGTGGGAGGTCGGAACACAGGCAGAGGAGAAGGAGGGTTCTCAGGGTGGGGGATCGGAACACACAGGAGAAGGGGGGTTCTCAGGGTGGGAGGTCGGAACACAGGCAGAGGAGAAGGGGGGTTCTCAGGGTGGGAGGTCGGAACACAGGCAGAGGAGAAGGGGGTTCTAAGGGTGGGGGATCGGAACACA